GGATATAGCTGGCTCTCATACCATTTAACACAGTTTCATTCCTCGTGGTGACTAAGATCGTGCTGCTACCTACTACTTTACTTAGTGGTTTCCTGAGGAAATCGTTCCATAATTTTTGACTCCAGACATCATCCAACACGACAAATAAATTTTTGGTGAGGAGAGAGGCAAGTTTGGGTTCCAATTCTGATCTGCTTTGTCCCTCGAACGATTCTGATTTGGCTTCACGTCCTTCAGATTTGTTAGCTGCGCACCGAATTAACTCACCGAGTAACTTCGTCTCCGAATAATTCTTAGATATATACAACCATATCTGAATGGGATAATTGACTCTGATCCTTTCATCATTGTATATTTTACGTGCCAGAGTGGACTTCCCGATTCCGCCCATTCCAACAATCCCAAAAATACGACATTTTTGTTTGGTGTCCTCTAGCATGGCATTGATTAGAGTATCGTCATCTACTTCTATTTGTCCCCCTACGATGTCCTCCTCGACTTCCAAGGGAGACGTCTCAAGTACAGTTGGTTTTTCGGGTTGGGGTTGGTGACTACCAGAAGACTGTAGATTACTAAGGATGGAGGTATCCTCAGCTATTTGTTTCAGTCTTCCATTAATGGCTTCGATTTCACCCGCAATCTCATGGCGGTATTTGGTACACCGAAAGCAAGAAGAAACAAAGCTGAAAAGGAAGCTTACCCCTGAAGCTGATGCTGATCCACGAGCCTCCAACAGTTTGCCACCTTCCATCATGCACAGATCGATGATGTCGTCGGCATCGTACATGATGGCTTTCAGCCTCATCACCCAGTCCTCGATGCCGCGATCCCCACGGCTTTTCCGCTCTGCACTTTCGAGGTAACATTTGATCGTCTCCAGCTTCTCCTGCAGCGTCTTGATCTCCTTCTTAACGCCCAGCACTTTGCATATCTCTCCCTCAAGAAAGAGTGTCACTTCTCCAATGTATCTGGAAACAAATGAATCCAGGACCATTGCCATCTCTCAAACAAGGGAAATGTCTCCCCACACTGTCGGAAACAAGACTAGGATGTTTTGCACGAGGAAGTGGTAGTTCCTTGTATATATATATAAGAGTATACAACACCATTAGTATATATATATATATAAGAGCGCAATGTGAAAGATTTTTTTTATAAAAATAATATACTATGAAACGCTTGCTCCGAGCCCTGATCAAGATAGGATTTTTTTGGATATTCATAAACTTAATCTTGATTTCTTAGGGAGATTAGGATATAAATAATAGAAATAATTAATCAGTTTTTGTTCAAGAATAAACGACTTTCACTAACACGAATCATAATTATATTTTATTTGGTTTTAGAGTCATTCAAATATTATTTTTTTCTGTAATTTAAATATCACAACTGAGATCGTGGATGACATTATGAAAAGATTGTTTTATCCTTCAAAAAGAAAATAAACAAAACAGTGTCTTCAACTCTAGCATGAAAAGCTGATAAAATTAAACCATCTAAGATAGGGATTTAGATACAAACCATTAAAAAAGTTGGAATCAAATTATTGAATACAAACACGTCATTGTCTTTAGGCCCACATGAGATGACGTGAGTGTGAGAGCTTCTATATGCATATAATTCAACATGGTTGATGATAGCTTTAGCTACGAGAATCGTACTTATGTGCGTTGCTTAATCCCAGAGTACTTTCACTTTGCGTGCTTGGCTTGACATGTCTATGAGACAGAGATCATTGGTGAAGCGGTGCTCGTGTTAGAGTCTCTTTGAGTGCAAATGTCATCATCTAGGTTCTGTTCTTTTCTTCATGGCTTGCTTCACACAGTCCCTAACTCAAATTCTTTTCTTCATGTCTTACTTCGCACAGTCCCTAACTCAATCTCTAACGCTGCATTTCAAAGGAGAAAGTAACATTGAAAGAAGGGCAGAGTGAAAAGAACCAAGGAGCAAAGCCAAGTTCAAGGGTTGGGCGCTAAAGCAAACAGTAAGTTGAGGAGTTATGTACCCTACTTTAATATAGGACAAAGCAAACAGTAAGTTGGGGAGTTATGTACCCTACTTTAATATAGGACAGAGTGTTAGTTTCACAAGTCCCATAGTTATACATCGGAAAAATCAGACTTGTTATATTCTATTGGAATTATAAATAAGGGCCTGAGCTTTGAAGTCAGATACACCACAAGTGACATCACAAGTGGCACCACAAGAAAAACCTAAGTGTTTGCTTTGGGTTTAAGTCCACACTCAGTTAAATAGTTTGTGCTTATAAGTTGAGGTTTTTCTTATTTAGTATTTTCGGGTGTTTTATAGCCTAGGAACATCTTCCTAAGGCATTTGTAATTGTCCCTTTTATAGTAGTGATTTGCTGCTCTTTCGTCCGTGGATGTAGGTCAAAGTCAATTGACCGAACCACGTAAATCTGGTGTTCTCGTCGCTTCTTTTATTCTTTCATTTTATTGTCTTTGTTAGGTTGTCAAAATTACCCTTTGGTAAATATCCTGAGGCTAGCTCTAACAAACTGGTATCAGAGCCTGGTTTCAGGATCTTTTGGCAACGATGACAATAACAAAGATCGTTGTCGAGAAATTCGACAGAAATGTCAACTTCGGCTTATGGCAACTCAAGATGGAGGCCATTCTAGTTCAAGACGGAGTTGATTTGGTACTACAGGGAGCCGAGAGCATTCCAGATGATATGTCAAAAGAAAAACTTGCGGGTATGGATAAGAAGGTCCGATCAAACATCATTCTAAATCTCTCTGACGAGGTTTTACGGGAGGTAGCTACGGAGACTACGGTTAAGAGCATGTGGGACAAGCTTAAATCCTTGTACATGAAGAGGACAGTGGAGAATCGTCTCTACTTGAAGCAAAGACTATATATGCTTCGGATGATTGAAGGTACATCTATACTCTCGCATCTTGATAAATTTGATTCTTTGATTATGGATTTGGAGAATATAGATGCAAAAATTGATGACGAGGATAAGGCCCTATTACTCTTGTGTTCTCTTCCCCAATCTTTTAAGCATTTCCGTGATACTTTGATTTATGGAAAAGAAACAGTTTCGTATCAAGAAATTAAATCTGCACTGAAATCTAAGGAGCTGATAGACAGGAATATCACTAGGGAAAGTAGAGGGAATTAGGCTGAAGGTCTGGTTGTTAGGGGGAGAATGGATAAAAGAGAATTTGACAGTAGTAGATCTAAATCTAGATCTAAATCCAGACATAGAAATTTAGAATCCAGATATTGTCATAAAATGGGGCACATTAAGACTGATTGCTTTAAATTGAAAAATAAATTAAAGCAAAAGGGAAAATTTGTTAAGAAAACTACTGAGTCCGTTGAAGCTAGTGTCGCATCTGATGAGAATGTTAAAAATATTTTCTTTGCTACTGATGATAGGACGATGTCTAAAAATGAATGGATTTTAGATTCGGGTTGTTCTTATCACATGTGTCCCAATAGGGATTTGTTTTCCACATATGAATCTTGTAATGATGGAATTGTTTTGATGGGCAATAATGCCGCATGTGATGTTGTTGGTAGAGGCACAATCCGAATTAAAATGCATGATGGTATTGTGATGACGCTCACTAATGTTAGACATGTTCCTAATTTAAAAAAGAATCCCATCTCTTTAGGCACCCTAGAGGCCCTTGGGTGTAAATACACAGTTGAATGTGGAGTTATGAAAGTTTTTAGAAGTGCTCTTGTTGTTATGAAAGTTTGCAGGTCTGGTAGCTTATATATTTTGCAGGGAACTATTGTCACAGGCTCAGTTGCAGTCTCGTCATCATCATTGTCTGATTCTGACATCACCAAATTATGGCATATACGTTTGGGTCATATGAGCGAAAAAGTTTGAGCATATTGAGCAAAAGAGGTCTACTTTATGGACAGAGTACTGGGCTACTGGATTTTTGTGAACACTGCATTTTTGGAAAGCAGAAAAGAATCAGCTTCAATTCTCCAACAGTTCACAAAACGAAAGGTACTCTTGATTATATTCATTCAGACCTTTGAGGTCCAGCTCATGTTCAGTCTAAGGGTGGTGCTAGGTATATGTTGACTTTCATTGACGATTATTCTAGGAAAGTTTGGGTTTATTTTTTGAAGCATAAAAATGATGTTTTTCTAACCTTTAAACAATGGAAGGTTTTGATTGAGAAACAAACAGGTAAACATATTAAGCGGCTTCGAACAGATAATGGCATGGAATTTTGTGAAAGTGACTTTAATGAATTTTGCAAAAATAAAGCAATCGTTCGGCATCGCACTATTAGGATGACGCCTCAGCAAAATAGTGTGGCCGAACGTATGAATAGAACACTCTTGGAGAGAGCAAGGTGTATGATCTCAAATGCAGGGTTGACAAAGGATTTTTGGGCAGAGGCAATTAATATGGCCTGTTACGTTGTCAACCGTGCTCCTTCTACAGCACTTAACTTTAAAACTCCGGAGGAAGTTTGGTCAGGTACTCCTGCTGATTACTCTGATTTAAAAATGTTTAGGTGCCCAGCATACATGTATATAAATGAAGGAAAATTAGAGCCTCGAGCTAAAAAATGTATTTTCCTTGGGTATGCTTTTGGGGTGCAAGGATACAAATTATGGTGTCCTGATCCCAAATCCCCAAAATTTGTAATCAGTAGAGATGTTACTTTTAATGAATTGTCTATGTTATCTTCTAAAGAGGAATCTACTAGTTGTACAAATGATAGTGCACAGAAGCAGCTGGAGCTTGAGATTGGTAGTTCTGATTCTTTTCAGTCGAACTCTTCTACTCAAAGAATGCCAGTAGATGGTCCCGAGTCTACTAACGCAGATGATCCAGAGGAAGAGCAATATTCCATAGCCAAGGATAGACCACGGAGAGATATTCGACCACCACAAAGATATGCAAATTTGGTTGCATATGCTTTGTCTGTTGCAGAAGAAATAAGTGAAGTTGGTGAGCCTACTTTCTACGCAGATACAGTTTCTTGTGATAATTCTGCTAAGTGGTTGATTGCGATGACTGAAGAAATAGAATCTCTCCATCAGAATAGAACTTGGGATCTTGTGAAGCCGCCTTCGGGTAAGAAAATTGTTGGATGCAAATGCGATACCATTGCTGAGGGAAAGGTTCTTGTTCAGAAATTTCATACGAAGGACAATCCAACTGATATGCTTATGAAGCCTCTTCCAGTTTACAAGTTCAAGCAGTTCTTGGACTTGGTTGGTGTTCATTGTTGGTGATTGCCCATTGGGGCTTTTATGAAGAAGGTGGAGCAAATTTTGTTGGGACATGCCAAGGTGGAGATTTGTTAGTTTGGTAAGTCTCATAGTCCCACATCGAGAAAATCAGGCTTGTTATCTCCTATTGGAACTATAAATAAGGGCCTGAGCTTTGAAGTCAAATACACCACAAGTGACACCACAAGTGGCACAACAAGAAAAACCTAAGTGTTTGCTTTGGGTTTAAGTCCACACTCAGTTAAATAGTTTGGGCTTATAAGTTGAGGTTTTTCTTGTTTAGTATTTTTGGGTGTTTTATGGCCTAGGAACATCTTTCTAATACATTTATAATAGTCCCTCTTTTATAGTAGTGATTTGCTCCTTTTTCGTCCGTGGATGTAGGTAAATTTCTTGGGACTAGCTCACAGACTTGAGTTGAGTTATGAATTGTGCATTGAGCCAACAGTAAATAGTGAGTTGAGAGTAATGGGACAAGCAAGGACGAATGAGCCAGCTCTTGCACAAGTCGTTCTTAAAGTTAAGTTGGTAAGGAGTAAAAAGAGAGATGCTATTAGATAGTTATATTTGAAATAAGCTTGAAAGTCAACATGAACACCTCACCCGAACATCATAAACTAACGGGCATCGACGAAAGAACAAGAAGCAACAGAACAAGAATAAGCAACGGGAAGAAAGTCTAGTTAAGTCTCGTAGATAGTTGAGTAGCCTATGGTTAAGGTAGAAAGAAGGGAGTTTCGTTTAGATTCAATGATTTCTTTCAAGGTCACCCTTTGACCTTAGTTTCAGAGTGGCGTAA